ATCTTCTAGGTGGTATTGAGACTGTGGGCTGAATTTTATCAGCTGAATGTCAGTTTTGGAGAAATCCCATGAAGGGTTCTATTCATGAGCATTAGTGAGTTTTCTCATGCTACCTTCCCATGCTTGTAGCATTGTCCTTGCATCATGTCCCCATGGCACCCTGCTCACTGTATTCTCAAAGCTGCCACAGACAGAAGTATAGGCCATTGTTGGCATCACCCGAGATTCCTGACGCAAATGCCTTCTGTGAAGTCCAGTGGTGCATCCGGTCAAGCACTGGCTCTGCAGCTGCCCTGCGCAGTTTGTGTCAATTACCCAAAACATGTCAGACAGAGGGAAATTGACACCCTGCTTTGCTGACGTAGAGGTCCAGGTGGATAGCAGGAGGTACTATCAATAAAGAGTGCCTGGCCATTCCAGATATTAAGGCTTGAGAAGAGTTAGAGGTGACTTAATTGCTGTCATTGTGCAGGAGACAAGCTCTTGGCATGCATACAAAATAGTATGTTTTGCATTGGTACACTAAAGAATCAATTGGGTTACAAGTTATCTTAGATCTAGTTTTGTATAAAAACAAAATACAATGAGTCATAGAGTCATAGAGATATACAGCATAGATACAGACCCTTTGGTCCAATTTGTCCAGCCAACCAAGTATCCCAAATAAATCTAGTCCCATTTACCAGCATTTGGCCCATATCCCTCTAAACACTTCCTATTCATATACCCATCCAGATGCCTTTTAAATGTTGTAATTGCATCAGCCTTCGCCACTTCCTCTGGCAGCTCATTCCATACATGTACCATCCTCTGTGTGAAAATGTTGCCCCTTAGGTTCCTTATAAATCTTTCTCCTCTCACCTTAAACCTATGCCCTCTAGTTTGGACTCCCCTACCCGGGGAAAAGACCTTTTCTATTCACCCTATCCATGCCCCTCATGATTTTATAAACCTCTATAAGGTGACCCCTCAACATCCGACACTCCAGGGAAAATAACCCCAGTCTATTCAGCCTCTCCCTATAGCTCAAACACTCCAACCCTAGCAATATCCTTGTAAATCTTTTTTGAACCCTTTCAAGTTTCACAACATCCTTCCTATAGCAGGGAGACCAGAATTGTACACTGTATTCCAAAAGTGACCTAACCAATGTCCTGTACATCCACAACATGACCTCTCAACTCCAATACTTAATGCCCTGACCAATAAAGGCAAGCATACCAAACACCTTCTTCATTATTCTATCTACCTGTGACTCCACTTTCAAGGAATTATGAACCTGCACTCCAAGGTCTCTTTATTCAGCAACACTCCCCAGGACCTTACCATTAAGAGTAAGAGTCCTACCTTGATTTGCCTTTCCAAAATGCAGCACCTGACAGCAGTCATGCAACAGTACTGGAGACTTATGCTCCAAAAAAAAGACCTGTTCCTGGACAAGGTATTCCAGTACAATGACAACGCTGACATCGGTGTGGCAATGTAAAAGTTTGCCTAGCCATGTCTTGTCTGCAAAAAGTAAGACAAACCCAATCAATTGTCATAATTTCAGTTTGCGCTATATTATCTGAATGGTGTTGAGCTTCTTGATTGTTGTTGATATTTCACCCAATTTTAGATTCATAGAACTGTTACAGCACAGGAGGAAGACATTCAGTCCATCATGTTTGCACCAATTCTCTGAAGGAGCATCTCACCTAGTGACAGTCTCCAGCATTCTTGTCCAGGCAACTGGAGACTGTGCCATCACAATCCTGACTTGGGCCTTTCAGATGGTAGATAGTCATTGGACAGGCATGTGACAAGTTATTCACCACATTATTGATATTGCTAGTCATGTTCAATTTCTGGTCAGTGGTAACACCCTGGATGCTAATAGTTCGAGGTTTCAGTGATTTTTAAGTGCAGTTGAATGTTGTTTAGATTACCCTTTGTTGGGGGTAATTATTGCCCAGCATTTGTGTCATGTGGCTGTTACTTGGCATCTATCAGCCAAAGCCTGGATGTCGCCCAAGTCTTACTGCATAGGAACACAGGCTGCTTCAGTATCTGACGAATTGTGAATGGTGCTAAATTTTGCACAACGGTCAGCAAACATTCCCATTTCTGTCCCTATGATGAAGGGAAGGTTATTTCTGAAGCATTGGAAAAGGTTGAGTCCAGGAAGATACCACCCTCAGAATCTCCAGCACTAATGCCCTGGGACTGAGATAATTCATTTCCAAACAACCACAATTATTGAGTTAGATTTGACTCCAACCAGCAGGGTTTCACTCGTGATTCTAATTGCGATTTGAGGATGCTACTTGACACCACTCACAATCAAATGCCGCCTTGGTTTCAAAGGCATTCACCCTCACCTCACCTCTGGGTTTCAGCTCATTTATCCATGGTTGGACCAAGACTAACACAGTCAAGAGCTGAAGGTTCCTGGCAGAACCCAAACTCAGTGTCAGTGAGCATGAATATTGTGAAGGCATCAGGGGTCTTGGCTGCCAGTTTACCAGCCAGCAAGAGTCCTGAATCCCCTTATTCTCTAAAGCTCACTTCATCATGTACCTTGCAGACACTTGAGAGTGATGGACACTCACTAGGATTAAAGACTCAACAGATAAAATTTCTGTTCCCAGTTAGACACTGGCAGCTCTATTGTATGCCAACACCGCTGGGGAGGTGGTAGCTACAGTCGGTACACCATATACCCGAGACTTTGAACTATTGCTGAATACTCAGGCAAGATGTCAGTGATGTGTGAGGTCATCACAGGGTTGGGGCATTAGGAACGGGGAGGGGTAAGGGAGTCGGCAACAAATGTTGAAGGGTGTCTCCCCTTGCTTTCCCGAAGCTGGGTATCTCATCAGGTACTGAGTGCCACTGGATTATGGCGGTGCTGGCATAAGACTGTAAAATACAGGAGCAGAATTAGGCCATTCAGGCCATCAAGTCTGCTCCACCATTTGATCATTGCTGACATGATTCTCCAGCCCATTCACCTGCCTTCTCCCTGTAACCATTGATCGCCATACTAATCAAGCATCTATCTACCTCTTGTTTTAAAGGTCCTCAATGACTTGGCCTCCATATTCTTCTGTGGCAATGAGTTCCACAGATTCCCTACCCTCAGGCTGAAGGAATTCTTCCTTATCTCAGTACTAAAAGGTCATCCCTTCACTTTAAGGCTGTGCCGTCAAAGCCCAGTCTCTCCTACCAGCGAATCATCTTTTCCACATCCACTCTATCAAGGCCTCTCGTTATTCTGCAAGTTTCAATCAAATTCCCCTCATCTTTCTAAACTCCATTGAGTATAGACCCAGAGACCTTGTCGTATGACAAGCTGTTCATCCCCAGGATTAGTCTTGTAAATCTCCTCCTGATCTTCTCCAACACCAGCATATCCTACCTTAGATACAGGGCCCAAAACTGTTCACAACATTCCAAATGTGGCCTGGCCAGAGATGTATACAGTCTTGGTGGGACATCTCAGCTGTTGTATTCTAGTCCTCTTGAAATTAATCCTAACATTGTATTTGCTTTCCTAACTTTCAATGGAACTTGAATATTTACCTTAAGAGAATCCTGAACTAGGAGTCCTAAGTCCCTTTGTGATTCAGATTTCCTAAGCTTCCCCATTTAGAAAATACTCTGTGCCTCTGTTCTTCCTAACAAAGTACGTAAGCTCACACTTTCCCACATTATATTGCATGTGCCACTTCTTTGTCCATATTTCTAGCCTCTCCAAGTCCTTCTGCAGCCTCCTTGCTTCCTCAACACTACCTGCCCCTCGACCTATCTTTGTGTCATCCACAACCTTAGTAATAATGCCATCAGTTCCATTGAACAGATTGTTAATATATAACGTGAATAGTTGTGGTCTAAACACTGACTCCTGTGGAACTCCCACTAGTCATCAGCTACCATCCTATAAAAGACCGCTCTGTACCCACTCTCTGCCATCTGTCAGTCAGCCAGTCCTCTATCTATGCCAGTACTTTGTCCCTAACACCATTGACTTTTATCTTATTTTGCAGCCTCCTGTGCAACACCTTATCTAAAGCCTTCTCGAAATCCAAATCAATCACATGGACTCTAAAATCTTACCAATGACTGAAGTCAGGCTAATCTGCCTATAAGTTTCCTGTCTTCTATTTGCGGTTAATATTGTGGCAAAAAAGATCAGTCATGAGTCTGTGGGGTTTCAGTAAGCAAATACTTTATTCGGCATATGTGAGGAAGCAGGTCTTCATTGTCCGAGACGTTTACTCAACTTTAGAACTTCGTAACACATACTTAAGAGTGCTGAAGTTCCTGTTCTCCTGTAGCTCTTGTTCATGACTCATTGGCTTTGTGTTGTTTTCTGGGACTTTCTGATCCACACTTAGTAAAAACAGATAACATAGTATTGCTTTCCTGTACTATCCACCTATACTACCCAAGGGCGTCAATTAGAGGTGGAGCAGGAAAGCCATCTGTGGTATTCCCACCATGAACTTTATTGAGGGAGAGGCAGGAAGTTGGTGACATACCCACCTCTCAGGCTTATTTAAATCTCTCTTACCATTGGGAAGGGCACAGGCTTCTGCCCAGTGTTGGACCATGAACTGTAATCAGGTTATTTTTGTTTTATTCATTCATGGGACATGGGTGTCGCTGGCTGGCCAGCATTTATTGCACATCCCTAGTTTCCATTGAGAAGGTGATGGTGAATTGTCACCTTGAGCCACCGCAGTCCATGTGTATTTTAACACATATAATGAAAGAAGTTTCATATATACTTGTAACCAATGAATGATTTTCAGTCCTTTGTGGCTTGCAATTGGTATTGTTGCATTTAAACTAATTCTTGTATATCCTTTTGAAAATTGAAGTCGCTTAACATTTGCCTTCAATTCATTTCAGTAATTTTGCTCCATAATGTTCAACTGTGAGACTTTATGAAAATTATCTTTAAATAACAGAAACTGATGAAAGTGTACAATAACTTTTCACCAACTTCCTTTCAGCATATGAGTTGCATGAATGTCCCGATCCACGGCCGTTTGCCAATGGCATTGTCACAGAATCTGGTTACAATGTTGGACAGTCCATTTCATTTGAGTGTTTGCCAGGCTATGAACTTATCGGCCATTCTGTTCTAATCTGTCAGCATGGAATCGACAGAAACTGGGATCACCCTATACCAAGATGTGAAGGTATAATTCATTCCTTTTATTGATATCAATGACATTTTATAAATTGCTTTTTATGTCATTCGTTAGCAGCTGGATGTAGAATAAGCAGTAGCTGCTATTTTACATTTGACACAGGGAGTCATTTAGTTCACTCAGTTTATTTTTCAAGATATCTGAGCATATGTTCTAGTATTTTACAGTCAGATCTTTGTTCTTACTATTTCATTTTGCTTCAGTTGATACTATTTTTACCTGAAGCCAGTGAACATGAGGTAGTCATTCTAACATTAAAGCCGTTATGAAGCCTGTGTAGCAGCACCTGGCATGCTCTGTGTTAACATCAGGAATTTTGGATAATTAATAACTTTTTGCTTTTTATGAACTAGAATGTATGTTCTTTTCAATAAAAGATTGTGCACAGTGTAGTGTACAGAGTATCGTATGCAAGGTTATTCCCAAAATCGTGTCAGAGGAGGCAATTCAGTCCATTACATGTACGCTGGCTCTCCAGGTGAACATTATGATTTAATGATTTAATTATGATTTAATTCCCCACATTCAACATCAATATGACTCATCAAGGTAGCATGTTGGAAGCCAAGTCCCTCTATTCCTGAGTTGTCACAAAAGTTAACGTCTTTAAAATAAATACACAGAATTCCCCAATTTACCTCATTTCAGATACAGATTGATAAAAAGTATGAGCCAGAATGCATTATTGAACAAGAATTGCTGTTTATTACAAGTAATTATCCTCTAGCTACAGGTTAACAATTATTAACCATCAGTGTATGACTCTACAAATTAAAACTCTCATCTCCTTATAGATACGTACACACATGGCATATGCACGCGCCCACACGCACACATGCACACAGACTGACTCACTCACTCACACATTCACACACAACGAGTGAAGGAAAGCTAAAACACATTTCTTTGGTTACTGTTCATGGATTGCGAAGATAATTTTCATGACGCTTATACCAGTCGGAAATTTGCTTTTCAGTCATCCTTCTGTGGATGCTTCCACTGGTTTGTAAAGGATGCAGGTGGGTTCATGAACGAAAGGTCTCTGATTTATCAGTTAAAAGTTACAGTTTGCAACAACTGCTGAAAGAAAGATGAACTGGTTTTCTTCAAGTTTAAAATGGGTTTTGTTTTACTGTGGAGAATGGAGAGGCAGCTCCTGTGTTGGTGGAGATAAGAGCATTCTCTCTCTATCTTTTTCTCAGTCCCAAGTGTTCAGTTAATTGAGAACCAAAGACATAATTGTTAGCAGACAAAAGGCTTTTGTGATCAATAACTGGCCAGTTGTCCATGGACCAATCAATTCTTGTTTCCACCTGCATACAGAACCCCTCAGCTTGAATCCATCTGCAACCATTTAATTACAACTTGCTCAATCAGCGAATTATACAATGATTGCCGTCCACATCCCAGATGTCCTCCTATTTCACGGACCACAACTTTCCCCCTTCGGTGGTCGAAAATGCCCTCAACTGCACCTCTTGCATTTCCTGCACCTCTGCCCTCACATCCCCTCCGCCCCCCAACAAAAATAAAGACAGAATCCCCCTTGTCCTCACATATCGCCCCACCAACCTCCGCATCGAATGTTTCATTCTCCGCCACTTTCACCTCCTACAATCCGACCCCACGATCAAAGATATATTTCCCTCCCCACCCCTATCTGCCTTTCGTAGGAACCACTCTCTCCGCAACTCCCTCATTCACTCCCCATTCCCCACTAACCCCACCACCCTGATACCTTTCCCTGCAACCGCAGGAAGTGCTACATCTGCCCCTAAATGTCCCCCCTTGCCTCCATTCAAGGCACCAAACAAACCTTCCACATTAAACAGATGTTCACCTGCACATCCGTCAATGTGGTCTGTTGCATCCGCTGCTCCCGTTGTGGCCTCCTCTACATTGGTGAGACCAAACGGAGGCTCGGAGACCATTTTGTAGAGCATCTGTGCTCTGTTCACAACAAACAATAACACCTTCCAGTCATGAACCATCTCAACTCTCCCTCCCACTCCCTGGGTGACATGTCCATCCTGGGCTCCTCCAGTGTCACAATGACACCACCTGCAAACTGAGGAGCAGCTTCTCATTTTCCACCTCGGGAGCCTACAGTCCAATGGCCTAAATGTGGATGTTACCAGTTTCAAAATCTCCCCACCCCTGGCCTCATCCCATAACCAGCCCTCCCTCTCATCCCCACCTCCTTGACCTGACACAACCTGTCCACCTTATATATATATATGTACAAGTCCTTAATTTATATGCAAAATGGCATTTTTAAATACCATTAATTTTAATGCATATAGTTTGCTGTGAGTATATAATGAAAACATTACAAAATTGAGACAACTGAATAAAATGAAAAAAAATAACATTTTTTTTCATCAGAAATTGTTTATTGTCTTCCGATTTAATGAACTATTTCTTTTATTTTCAAGACTTAGAAAATTCTAAGTTACTCATGGCCATTTATCAAATTGCATGACGCGTAACAATTAAGTAATTCTGATATTGCCACCTTCGCACTCTGATGCGTTAGTGCTACATGCAAAAAAATCCAAGGTGGCTATCACTAATGCATATTAAAATTCCTGTGTTTGCTTTCTAAAACAGTTAAAACAGTTATTTATGCTAACCAGGTTTGATGTTCACATTGTCATCCTACTTTCAGTTCCCTGTGGAGGCAACATCACCACTTTAAATGGCACAATCTACTCCCCTGGCTATCCAAATGAATATCCAAACTCTCAGGACTGTACATGGCTTGTGACAGTGCCTGTGGGCTATGGGATTTACGTCAACTTAACTGTGCTGCAAACTGAACCTGGCAATGACTTCATTACTATATGGTATGAATTTCTATTCCATCATGAATCAAGTCATGTTGCATATTCAAATTTTGTCATGCACACTGATAACTTGTTGCACAGTACACTGTATATTCTCACTGGTTGGGATGACATCCCAGCAACCCAGAGTACTTTTAGTCGAGTTGAATGTTGACATTACTATGCTGGCAACAAAAAGGAAAATACTACAAATGATTTGAAGCAGAGAATGATCCATTGGCCATAAATACGGTGGAAATCAAAAAAGTACACGATGCCAAAAAGTGCACACAACCTCACTGACCATGGACCAACAGAGAATTCTCTGTTCAAAGCACCAGCTCAAACCTCTTCTCATTCCAAGTACATCCACCTATTTGAGACTAATTCCACTTCTCCGGATTTTACAGGCCCTCCCTACTCCATTGTAATTCTGCAAGGACCACTTACACATCTTCTGACCCCCTGATTTTAAGATTATTTTCATGACAGCATTTTTGTTTTGCTTATATCATACCACTTTCCTTTCTGTCATTTAATCACCATTTTCCTTCCATCGTATTGCAGTCTTTTTATTTTTGTCTTTGTCCTCTTTGTCCCTGGCCTTGCTCCTCTTAACAGCTGTTTTGTTTGTGACATCTCCTGGCTCAGATTTAACTTGATTTGACTTGCATCAACTTGAAACATGAACTCCGCCTTCCTGTCTTAACCGATGTTGCTTGCCCTGCTGAGCTTTCTTCCAATGTTTTTGTCTTCTGGCGATGGCACAAGGCTACAAAGCAGAAAGATCGTGTAATGTGGATCTTAAACTGGAAATTAAATTGTATAACGTCACTCAGGTCCTTGAATTTTGCACTATCCACTGGACTTCAATGGAAGGTGACCACTGGTTTGAATTTGGAACAAAGACAGAATTTATTCATTATACTTTGAACAAAAGACAACTTAATAGATTTTGGAAGAATTTTCTCACCTTTTTTAACCTTTGGAAGTGTGCATTCGCAGAGAGGAAAAGAGCAGACGTTGTCATGAAACATAAATATCATAAAATCCAGTGCATTGATTTAGGAGGTGTTTCACTTGCATCTTTTATTGGTTAATGTGTTAACTGTATCAGGATCACATCAATGCCTAAATCTTTTACTCAATATTGAAAGTCATTCTGACCTTCAGGAAGACACAAAATACACATTGGAGCACAGTGAGATAAATCTTCTAATTTGCTTTCTGTTTCAAAGTCGCCTTCAGTTGCCAAGGCTCAGGCTTCAGAAGTTTCTCTGTAAAACCTCTCTGCTTCAAAATCTCCTCCCTGAAAACACTTTTGTGAAATCCTCCTCTCAACAAAAAGAAGAGGCTGGCTGTCAAATTTTGTTCGACAATGATACTGTGAAGTTAAATCATTTTTGCTGCAATAAAAGTGCTATATAAGTACAAACTGTTGTTGTGGTAAGTCAGATGACGGTTGAATAGTGAAATAGGCAGACAACTGATTTCTGTTAAAAATAACTTCAATTCTGAAAGAGAAGAATTGAGGCATATTAGAAGATGTAATGATAGACTCAATTTATCAAAAGCAATGGGTGAATTTGGGCTGAAATTGGACTGCTGAGAAAAATCATGGGATTGAATTCCCTCCTCATCAAACAGTTGGAATTGAATCAAAACACAAAAATTTATCTTGTATTGCTGTGATTTGATAAAAATTCACAGATGAAATGTCAATCTCCTTTTTTTATAATTTACTTCTGCATGCCCTATTTCTCATAATTCATCTGAAGTTTCGTTATATACTTTCAGGGATGGAGCTCAGCAAAGTGCACCTCAGCTGGGGGTGTTCACTGGAAGCTCAACTAAAGAATCCACGTACAGTTCTTCAAACCAGGTTCTTTGCAAGTTCCACAGTGATATGGCAAATGGAGGTCTATTTGTTTTAAACTTTTATGGTGAGTGGTGTATGTATTTTTCCACTTTTTTTCCCATTAAGGGGTGGCACGATTGGTCAGTGGTTAGCACTGCTGCCTCACAGTGCCAGGGACCCGGGTTCAGTTCCAGCCTTGGGTGACTGCCTGTGTGGAGTTTGCACATTCTTCCCGCGTCTGCGTGGGTTTCCTCTGGGTGCTCCAGTTTCCTCCCACAGTCCAAACATGTTCAGGCTTGGTAGATTAGCCATGGCAAGTGTAGGGTTCCAGGAATAGCGTAGGGGGATGCGTCTAGGTGGGATGCTGTTCAGAGAGTTGGTGTGGACTCGATGGGCCGAACGGCTTGCTTTCACATTGTAGGGATTCTATGATTCAATGATTTTGTTCTCAATAGTACAGATTCAAGCTATGTCATTAGGTAATGATTGCAGACTTGTGCTTCAGAGTATTCAGCTGCACCTATACATTGCCCCTTCCCTTCCTATAACATTCTCATAGCTTGTTCACTTTTTGCCTTTGTTGCTGTATGACCCCTGATGGAACTACATGTGTAAAAGACAGCACTGAAAATCCCAGTTTGTGATAAGGGTAAAGAAACCCTCCTATATTTAAATGGTGAAGGATCCTTGCTAGATGAAATAACTCTCGTATGATATTGATAAAATTTAAACTATTGAAGGTGACACTGCCTCTTTTAAAAGTGGTATGTTGAAGATGTCAACTTTAAAATGATGTTTGAGAAAATGGGTTTGGTTTGAGATATTGTCCAATGATTCAAATAAATGGTTTTTGATGTCTTTTTGTTTGCATCGATAATGCTGGTATCACTTCCACATTCCATTGATAATAGTATGAGAGAGCATTTTGATTGTACAATTGCATTGAGGTACAGTTTCTGGTAGCAGTATTATGTAATGCATGCCTTTGATATTCTACATAACACTATATGCCTGAACTGTAAACTCTGGGCTACACTGCATGCTGCCAACATCTCTTGTGTCATGGATAAAATTGGACACTTGAGTGCCTAAAATGACCAAATTCCCTTTTAGCAGTTCTATTTTGTTTTTAAATTTTGGTGCAGCTTTGGTGTAGATAAAACACAGTTTTGGGACGAGCTGTCAAACTGGAACTGTGAATATTCTGTAAATCTGTAAAAAGCCTGGTTATCAACTGAGAGATATTGGCTCTTCAATGAGCAGTAAGCCTCAGCAAGACGTAATCCATACCTTTTTCTAATCATGTTAGCTTTGCGAAATGCAAAATCATTTTAAGGAGGAAAGAAAAATGTTGTAACTAAATAGATTTTATTTAACGTCCCATCTGAATTCCATTCTGACAGCTGAGTGACACAAACGTCCTAATTGCTCTCAAACCTTAGTGAGTATCCATTGAATCAACATGACATCACCATTTATCACTCAACTGGTATGTTACCCAAGATCCCATTTAGCATAGACCCAAGACCAGTTTTGCATATCACTACTGGAAACTGCATTTAATCTTTCCAAACTCATTTTCGTTTGGAATTCTCAATGATGCCTACTTTGTTTAAAAAGTGAGAAAAAGAGAAGTGCAGCCGGTATACCTCACCTGTCTCAGGACATACCAAATTACTTTAGACCCAATATATGTGCAAGAATATCACGCCATGAGCCTGACTGATGACACTAATTTTGTTGCCAGCTTAATTTTTTGTACACTCAGGACTGTTTTGCAAATGTTATCCAATCATGAAATCACATATAATGTTGAACACTTTTGAGTTCTGTGAACATGTGATGGCTGCATATGGTCAGTGCCTGCTTGCAGGAAACAGCTGACAGGATATACTGTTTGATATAAACTGCAAATATGTGTGTCATACAGCCTATATTCATAGCATCACACCAGCACTGAAATTCATATATCGCATTTGGATGATCAGCAGAATATCTTTTTGATTCGCATATTTTCTTACACATTTCATGTATGTAAATGTTTGCTAAATTTGATTTCAGTGCTGCATGTAAAAATGTCCTTGCATGTCTTTATGGACTCCGCCCTGCGCTCAAATTTGTCTTTAAAAGTGGAGCAGTCAATTGAGATCTCTTTCCTTGATTTCCTTGTCAAGAAATCAGCCAGGGGTTCTCTAATACTACCTAGTGTAAGCCCATTTTGGTCAGTGTATATGTTGAGATTTCTATGATGGTAAATAGGTATGGAGGCATTTCTTCACCTTGCAAGCTTGATGCTGAAATGGGGACATTAAAAAAGTCCTGCAAAATTGGCTGCCCTGATCAGATAATTTACTGTGTATAGCTCAAACTCATAAGTGGGCCTAATGCTGTTGGTTTTGGACTGAAAATCTTCCTTAGATTACCCTAGAATGGGAAAGAATCTGAAAAAAATCAAACGCTAGCCAAAGTTAACTGTTTCACGCTGCTATCCTACCGTAGCAACACAAGTGGTGTTCCTTAACAGGATGCTGTCAGCAAGGCAAACACATGTTCTGCCAATCACACAAATCTGTCATGTGCTGTATGAATTTCAATGCCACTCTGCTGTTAGGTTTGTAGGCCGTGCATCCCAAAGACTGATGTCAAATTGTGTCAAATAGCATATCATTTTGGCTGTTCACAATGAGCATGCTGGTGACCATGTCCAAGCAGTTTGTGTTTGCTAAACTCTCAGTGACTGATATTTGCTGTAATTCCACAAGTGGGCAATTTGTGCTGTGTGTTGAAAGAATTGGGCTGACAACCAATTTAGGATTGTCAGTCAGGCTCTCAGTAAAGCACAGTTGCACAGACTGGAAGCTACATATGTTACACTTTGTCAAATAGCATGTTGAGGTCTATGTGCAACAAACATTTGGTCCTTTACAGCCCATTTGGCATGTAATTTCCCTCAACAAAATCAAGGAAATTTTAACGTAATTATCTCATTGTTAAATTCACAATCTGAGCACCATGATCTGTCAGTTTGAACTAATTGCATTAGTTGAGCATGAATATAAAATTGCCATGGAACTGTCATTCTATCACTGCCATGTTTCAAGCCTATCGTGTCACCAGGTTTGGGGGCCTTGCTAGAAGCTTTCATTTTCTGGCATCTCTCAACTGCCTACATTTTTGTACCACTGAACAGATTTATTGAGTCAGTAAAATAAGAAAGTGAAATGACCATTATTGATGATAATTAACTCTGTTCTTACCTCCATTATTAATCCATTAAACTTATGAATTACACTTTTATCTGTAATTTTTTTAAAACTAAAATATGCCTTTCATTCACTTTTTGAGTGAAATTGCAACAGTTATCTTCTATCAATTTCTATTTTCTGGGTCTGAAGACTGCAAGGCTGAGCCTCAGTAACAAACCGTTTTCTAACTGAAGCTATCCTTTAATCTCCCTTGACTCTGTTAAAATATAATTGTGTTGGATATGTCAAATACTTTAAAAGAGAAGCTTTGCCTAACCAGTATAGCATTTGAAGTATGACTGCTAATTTAATTCAGCATCTCCACTGGGAGAAAAGCTAGAATCTTAAAAGCTGCTTTGAACATTGAGAGTAATAATGTGACTGTAATACACTCCACATTGTGCTCTCATAATGAATTCAGTTTCTACGCCATATGCCATGTCTGAGCTCACCTGTGCAGCATGGAAATTAGCCACTTAATGACAAGTATACAACTCATTATAGATGGTAGGCAAGAGCTTAGTTATGATGAGATAGCCGCTATTATTCTCCCAACTAAAAAGTGGGGTCACAGCTCACCCATAGTAATGAGCTTCATTTGTCTTCATCTTTTAACACTTACAACTGTGTTGTTTAGGCCTAACCATTATACAATGCTGATGGTGCTCGTTTCGCCTGCTGTTGGTTTAATCACCATACTAAGTGAATTTTGTTCAATCTGAAAATGATAATTTAGAATAAAAGATTGTAAAATTGAAGTAATTCATCAGTTAAAACAAAATGCATAAAACTGATGGACTAACACATCCATTTGATTGGGTGTTTTTGCTCTAATTACTTAAGATGATGATGGTACATCGAAAATGACTGAATGTCACACTGGGTTTGAATATGATTCTTTCATCTTTGGCTCTTAGATATGAAATGGAATCTGTCTGACAGGTTAAAAGCCCGCTCTTTCTGATGTATAGAACATACCCAAACAAAATGAGTTCAGGCACAATCAACTTAGTTCCTAGAGGGTATGAACCTGAGCTCAAACTGCTGGTAATTAGCTACTAACTGGCAACAAATTGGCTGCTTCATTCAGACAGGGCATGATGATGGCAGGTGCAAAAAATGTAAAGATCACACTGATGCAGTGAGAGGTGCTTTCTCAGGCTTTCTTGAGATGTAGAATTGGGAAATGTGTCAAAGAAAATATAATGATATTTTAACTATTTCTGTGCCTGAGTAAACACTACTCTTTTTTCTTGCTGCATTTGAGTACCAAGATTAAAGATTATTCTTGGAAATGGTCATTCTTTACTTCAGAATGCAAATGAAATTAACAAAGCTTCAAAATAAATAAGCACGTCAGATGGTACAATGAATCTTTGCCAGTGTTCATACATATAATAACCAACTCCTGGCATATCTGCTGTTGCTCCATTGTATGTTAGAGCAAAAATATGCACATTAGAGATGCCAAAAGCACTGTTACTTCATGTCAAATAACTTAAATATTATCATTATTGCTACACTTTTGGCTTTTTTCCCAATGTCTTCACTGGTATAATTCATTGATCTTCTGAGAATTAAATATTGGAGAAAGCAAACAAGAATAGCTTTGGCAAAATGTTGTTAAAATTCTATTCAAACACAGTTGTGTTACTAATTCTTAAACACAAAGATACCAAATATTTTTCAAAATTTACATTTTGTAATCTAAACAAAACTCTGATTTTTGCTATAACAGAGAGCCAGAAAATGCTGGATGATATCAGGAAAATGAAATCCCCCAAACTTGGTATTTCTCACTTTGGTGGGTGTGCACTGTAGTTTGCACATGTGCAGTTCCTGGATGCAACTGGCAATTTACATGATTAGCTACCTCGACGAGAATCAGATCTTGGAATTTTCCATATCAAAAACCCAGCATGTGGAGTTTGGACCAGCTAAGAGCAAGTCTGTTCTCAGTTCATTTCAATTGGATAGCCAGGATACCCTTTTAGAGAACTGAGCTGTGCCTGCAAAAATAAAGTCCCAAGATTCCTTGGGGATAGGGTGTCAGAGATCCTTTGGGAGTTGGATGATAGGCATCCTCTGGATGTAGATGTCAGGGATCCTGGGGGGAGATGGACAGGGTGGGGAGGAACGGGTCAGCCACCCGTTGAAGCTGTTAACTGTGGAGACGATTTTGACTATAAGGTGTGTAAACTCTTAAAACAGCGCAACTTGTCAAGGTCCATCAAGAAATATCAACAAATCTTGAACTGGTGACATGTCAAAATGTCCATTTATGAACATAAGTGCTTTTGTCAGTAGAGTGTGTTCTGCAATATAGAAATTTAAGTAAAACAGCTATTTTTTTCCCCCAAGTGCATGTGCTTGTGGTATTCAAGTTGGCATAGAAGGTGAGGGAGAAAGGGTGTGCGGAAGGAGGCACTAAGTTGGTGTAGAGGAAGAAGAGCCAAGAGGATTGGGTAAAGGGTATTTCCTTGCATGGGATGGCATGGGTGGAGCTAAGGAAGTGTGTGAGGGGACGTTGAGAGGGTTGGAGGAATGTTGTATATTTATCCTCTTCAGGAAATATAAGGAACAACGAGTTCCAAATTCCAACTATGTCTTGAACAGCGAGATGAGATTTTCACTAATGAGCAGCAAGGGGCCTATTTGCGTTAATTAGCATCTATTAACATCCTCATTGTTATGCAATCTCATCTTATTGATATGCAGTTTCCCATTCTCCCACCTGCCTTATAGAAACTAGACAACACCTCCGCTAACGATGTTTTGAATTAATTTTGATAAGTTTCCATTGACTGTTTAATTTTTGTTCTTATTACAGTGCACCGTCACAATCTAACTTGTTTCAGTTTCATTTTGAACCATCAGGAACTGGACAATGATAATTCCTGACATGAATGCCAGAGCAATAACCCAATGACTCCAGCCCAGCTCGCTGCCTGCCATTCTGGGCCTCCAGTTTGGGCACCGGGCACTAGCGTCTCTGGTACTCTCCATTGGCAGTGACCTCTTGCTGTCCCTATTTACCATGACCCCCAAGTCCCTGTTTGCAAAGTGCGGTGCCAATTTCCCTCTGCCCCACACGAATGTGGCAATTCACCATGCCATTGAGAAACGTGCAACATGGAGACAATGTCAAATTAACATACAGGTTCCAACCATGTGAGAGGGACAGTGACAGACCCTCTCTTAGCTCAACTGCTAATTCTGTTCTTCTCCAAAATCCACCTGCTTACAACCTCACAAAAGATCCAGTATGGTTGTGTGGTTTCTCACCAGTAATAATTGCATATTTCAAGATAGCCATCCAGGTGAGCTGGTTGAATTATCGTTAAAAGTCAAGTTACTTTTGTCCAGGCAATAACCTTTTTGAATGGTGCATCTTCAGTCGTTAAATGCTCTGTGTGCCTTCCATCGATGTATTATCTATACGGCTTAAAGGGATGCCTTTCATTGTTGGGGGGTGTAGTGGGATGAGGTACTCGGAAGCTCAATAAGTTGTGCAGACCTGCCACCCCTCCTCAAAGGGGTTGGAATACGTAGATGATGTAAATTAGTGTTAGTCATCAGATAGAGGTTCAAATCACTTGAGACTACTTCTAAAATCTGTCTTTTTAAGAGTTCAATTCCTGATTCCAACCAATAATTATTAATATTTAATGTTAGATATAAGCAAGTGTTAACACTGCTGACCAATGCCTACCCATCTACTCTAATAAGTGCTAACTTTCGTCACTTCCTGTGATGATGATTACCAAACTATTTCCATATTCAGCAGTGAGTTAATCGGGATATTAACCTGCATGCTCTGCAAAAGCAACATCACAACAGTCACATCCCAGAGACCCTAGATTACCCACACTGATTTTGAAGCATCAGTATATTAAGCAATATAAAAATTACCCTGAGGTGCCTCAAACAGCATTACTAAGTATGAAAAACATGATCATTACATGGAAAGGAAGAAATTAGATTATTTTAATCATATTCAATTGTCATCTAAATGATTACACCTCATCAAACATCAAAACCTTGAGGTTGGAATGAAAGCCAGAAAAGCTCAATTCACTCTTGATAGAATGAAAGGCAGCCAGAGGCAGACTTTCCTTAGCAATTTTCCTCCTGTTGCTCAAACTAGTAGCTTGCTAGGTTTCCATCCCAGTAAAGTCTATCCATCATAATAATCTTACCTACAATAGACTTTCTCACTGTAAATTGTATCTTGACCTTACTGTTATAATGATTCACTTGCAGCTATTTCTCTACCTTACTCTGAATCTCTATAACTGGATATTCCAAATACTTATTTGTTTATTTTTCCTAATGTGGAGCTCATTAAGAGATTGCACTTCACGGTTTGTTTGGATAGAGAACTGAATGCCTCAGGTTTGAGGCTGTCATGGGACTGCAATACAAACCCTCCAGCTAAGGTTAAAATCTCAGAAGCACTAAAAGAAAAGCTAAATTCCCTCATTCATTTCACACAACAGTCACGCAAAATCAGTAAGAATGAGTCGTCCAACTATTTTACATTCCATTTGATTTTTCATTTTCCTTTAAGGAGGGCCTTGAATTCCCTTCCAAAAGCTCTCCTCCTCTATCCCTTGTATTAAAACACTAAAATGAACCTCTTTTGAGTAAGCCTTTAGTCAGCTATTCTAATATCTCCTCCTCCCCAGTGTCCACTATTAGTAGATAAACTTTTGTAAAACATCTTTGAACTTTTGAACTTCATATCGGTATTTTATAAATCGTTGTTGTTTGTATTTAGGTGGAACAATTAATGATAAGAAAATAAGTGGGTTTTGTCAGTGAGCTTCTATCTTGAAGCGAGTCATATTGCCCCCCCTCGACTATCCATTTGAATCCTATTGTGTGTTGCTCTGTTTAACGAGGTCATAGAGCACTTGTATATTGCTGAGACCTCAGATCACACTTCTCCTTGTACTTCCTTTATATTTATCCCATTGTTTCTTAATTTATGTGCTTGATATTTTCCCCAGCTTGACTCCCTTGTCTTTCTGACAACTGATGTGTCTTTGTTAATGGTTATTGATGCTGCCACAGTCCATTTACAAATATCCAAGACTCCCTTGCACCTTATTCTCACTTTGTAGGGAATAAATTGATTTGACATTTCAGTAAAGATTGAGGGGGGCATGATGTCCCAAGAAACGTTCTCTCTCACTGCAACTGCAAAAAATCCAATTGATAATGTCAAAGGCAAATTGTGTGGAAGGACAAGTATATGATATTAGAGAGAGAAAAGGGAGTATGTTGAATGGTAATCATTTGGACTTTTTTTATCATTTATCAAATTCAAAGTTAGTGTAAAGCGAGTCACATGGTGCTCAAAAATTGTGGACATGTTTCTTCTCGAAGCACGTAACTAATTATAAAATGAAGTAATTCCAAAATATCATAAAACTTGTCCATTTCTCAGAATGACCTTTCAACACTTGAGAACAACTTATAATTTGAGATCGGATGAGATGCAGTAATTGTAACTGTAATGTCAAACATTGTCATTCTTATTGCAGCGTATCAACTTAGGAAATGTCGCCCTCCTGTCTCTGTGCCAAATGCTGAAATATTCACTGAAGATGAAGAGTTTGAAATTGGTAATTCTGTGATCTATTTTTTGTGTAATTTATCAGAAGAGGTTGGAGTCAAAACCTATCTGGTTCATCAATTCCCTTTAAGCAAGAAAATCTGTCACCCTTACCTCATCTGGTCCATATGTGACACCAGACCCATGGCAACGTGGTTGATTCCTAAGTGCCTTCTGAAATAACCTAACAAGCACTCGATAGCAATTAGACACGAGCAACAAACATCTGACTTGCCAGTGATATCTACATCCCATCCAAGAATTTTAAGAATATTAGGCTACAGCATTTAATGTCTCATCATTTAGTTGCTTGTTTCTGAAGATTGTGGTCCCAAAGATCTATAGATTCATCTTCAGTATAGATGCTTGAAGAACAAAGTCATGAAACCCATCAGAGGACACCTACTCTGAGGAGAAATGTTGAGGTTTCCTCAGAAATGTTGACAGTGTCCCTATCAGCCCCTTGCAGGGGGACAGAAACACCACAGAAATTTTAATCACAATTTCCAGGGTTCAAAGCAGGAATCCCCAAGTAAGATTTAGGTTTGGTCCCTGATGAGCCACAGTGTCTCATTTCCATGTATCAGCACGGAAACTCCCAGCCTGGGACTCAGTGTACTTTGCTTTTGGAACGTAATGATTCCATTGTCTGTACACTTCCCAAAGGTGTGATCAGAAAAGGTAAAATGTACTTTGTTTTCCCTCGAGATCTGAGTCCCCTCTGCTGCATTGCATAGCTTCTGGTTGCTCCGTTTTTTGGTCTTGTGGTCTTTATTAAAGCTGCTACAGATCCAATTGCTTTTGTCCAAACCCCTGGCTTCCCGCGTCCAGTTATCCTGCACCAAATCCCCTCTGTCTGGTAACCCACAGCCTTCAGTGTCTAGCTCTTGCTAGCTTTATCCAGACTGCTTGTTCCTATTAACATCCTTTACCCTCAGCCACCTCTTCCACCTCCCCTTCAGTCCCCTATTATCTGATTCATCCCAGCCTCTCTTGTGTGACCCTTAATTTCTCATGTTTGATTTTCTATCTCCCCAAAGCCTCCCCTACCTGTTTGAGCCCCACCTTCCATGTCTGATCTTCTCTTTCTGGTTCCTCCCACCACTGCCTCCCCTTTCTGATTTACCCATTCCCTAAAGGACAGGCCCTCACGTTTCTATTTACAACAGGATACCCCACATTTGCTCACAACTCTTCTGTCCAGCCTCTGCTTGACTTAACTCTTCACTGTGCCCAATGGCAATATTGGGATAAGAACTCCCAAAAGTGAGTCTGGGAGGAATTGGATTTGCAAGTCCACAATCTGCCATATGCAAATGATGCTGTCCCCAACAGTGCCTGGGTGATAGTCTGGGAGGGTGAAGCTGACATTTGGATCTGTTGAAAAAAATCAAAAAAGTTGGTGTTCAGAAAAATGAACAAGAATTTGTGAGATATTCTCAACTATGTGCTTGCCCTTAACTCTGCTCCTGTATACATCAAGGTGACATCATCAAGTACCAGTGCATCCCTGGGTTTACTCTGATTGGAAATGAAATATTAACATGTCGTTTAGGAACACATCTGCAGTTTGAAGGACCTCCTCCATCATGTGAAGGTATGTTCAGCGAAAGTATAATTGAATGACAGTAAGTACTGCAGCAGGAGCTAATTGTAGGTGCAGATCAATTATACATCAACTGTGTTGTTTTATCACTAGAAATGATGCTTTGTTCCTTACTGCTTCTTTTTTGTAGATTTCACTTTTAATTGATCAATTTTTTTGTTTGTTTCGTCTGGGGGAGCAGCCACAATTGAATAACTCACCGGCTCACACCTGAGGCACTTGTACAGCATCCCTGTGGTTTTACATACGCTCTCTTCATGGGCTGTTCCATCCAATGATCTAAATGCATGTCATTAATTCATAATGAGAAAGGAACTGGAATGCCAATCAAATAGTGTGAAGTCTTGTACAGGTCAAAATAGACTCTGTAATAAGACTGAAAGCACCATTACTGACAGCATGAACAAATGTATCTGGGTGAATACGTAGCAGGAATAGTGATATAAATGCTAACTGTGAAAAGAATAACTATGTATGTATATAGTTGCATGAACAGGGCCAATGTTAAGACAGAACAGCATATATTGGCCATTATATAGCACTGTATAGCAGGATCACCAGTGCCATTGCTGTTCCTGTCAGGATTGTATCCAAAAAGTTACAGAACAGGACTATGTGAGGGATGTATCAGGTCTATCTGAAACTGAACTAACAGAGGCATATATCTGGGCCTTTATAAGTTTCTTGTTGTACACTGTAGGCATTGGTCATTCACTTCTGTTTAGTAAATGTACAAATTGGTTGCATATTGGGATTGTTCATGTGTGAATATCTTGATAGATTGTCTGTGATTTAGATCTCATATAACCATATATATGTAAAAGACAGCTTTGAAAGGGTGTTTTATCTTGTTTAACATCACACAGAGCTTTATTCGCATGCAAATTGATTTTTTTTTAGTTATTCAAACTATAAAACCACTTTGAACTTGCTGCCTTCATGCAAGTTAGCTTTCCAAAGCATTTCAAAACACCATTATACTTTCTTACTTTAAAGTCGCAGGTACGTTCATAGGGATGAACAAAAGAACCATAAGTGACCCTCCCCTTTGACACAACAGAAGCTAAGGCTCCACAGGGATTGTGGTGTGCTTTGTGATGCATTGAAGAGAAATCAACGATTCACTGCACAATATCGTCACCTATTGCCAGGAAACTAGAAATGCATTGAGGAAAAATGTCTTGAGCTGAGCACAAGTGAGAAACATCTATACAGGAAGATTTTACAAGATCTCTTTTTTCTTCAGCTAAATGGAGAATGCTCTCCATTAAGGCAGTCACAAGAAGGGAATGAGATGCCTGAACCTGAATGGGAATAAAAGGAGCATAAATGCTGCCAGTTAGTAATTTAGAGATGACGAGATCGACACTACGTTTAATGTTGTATCCGAGACGACACAGGGGAGCATTGGGGTGTTCGCCGATGATTGCACAATGTTCAGTACTATTCGCGACTCCTCAGATACTGAAACAGTCCATGTTCAATTGCAACAAGATCTGGACAATATCCAGGCTTGGGCTGACAAGTGGCAAGTAACATTTGTGCCACACAAATGCCAGGCTATGAACATCACGAATAAAAGACAATCTAACCACCACCCATTGGCATTCAATGGTGTTTACATCACTGAATCCCCCACTATCAACATCCTGGGGTTTATCATTGATTTGAAACTCAACTGGACTCACCACATAAACACAGTGGCCACAAGAGCAGGTCAGAAGCTGGGAATACTGTGGAGAGTAACTCACCTCCTGACTCCACAAAGCCTGTCCACCATCTACAAGACACAGGTCATGAGTGTGTTGCAACATCTCCCCACTTGCCTGGATGAGTGCAGCCCTAACAACATTCAAGAAGCTTGACACCATCCAGGACAAAGCAGCCCGCTTGATTGGCACTGCATCCACAAGCATCCATTCCCTCCACCATTGACGCTCAGGAGCAGCAGCAGATACATTGCAGAAATTCACCAAAGATCCTCAGAAGCACCTTCCAAACCCATGACCACTTCCATCTCGAAGGACAAGGGCAGCAGATATATGAGAATGCCATCACCTTCAAGATTCCCTCCAAGCCACTCATCATCCTGACATGGAAATATGTCGCCGTTCCTTCACTGTCGCAGGGTCAAAATCCTGCAATTCACTCCCTAATGGCATTGTGGGTCAACCACAGCAGGTGGACCACAGCAGTTCAGGAAGGAAGCTCATCACCACCTTCTGAAGGGCAACTAGGGATGGGCTAGGGATGGGCAAGGAATGCTGGACAGCCAGCAACGCACACATCTCACAAATGTCTAAAATAAACAGGGCATTAACTTTTGAAACACAATTGAGAGCCATCGGCTGTAAGAATTCAGAATAAAATTAACCAGAACCATCCCAGTTTGGTTTCTTAAGGCTGAGTTTCAAGATGCTCCTTTGCTCAGCACTAAAAAATGAACCGTTCAGTGTCACGAGACAACACACAATTGGAGATGGGGAAATTTGTAATGATGTAGTGTAAGGATAAAAGTACTATGTTGAAAAATAGTGGATGTCTGACTATAATTTAGATGTATACTTATTGACTGAAAGAGTGTCTGATCCTGATTATGATTAAATTGATGTAAGCACGGTAGGATTACGCAGCCCACACTGTCTGGAGTGTAATGCAAGGCACATCCCCAGACTGATCCAAGAATTAGAACCTCAGTTTTAGCTGACTTATCATCTGCTCCTGGTGACCCTGGTGGAAGAATCGGCTGCATTGTATCTACGCTCAGACTCAGTCAAGGGTTTGCATTACAAAGTGATCAGTCATGGTACAGAGGGTAGCCCTTGTCTCTCAGTAACCATTCATGTAAGACATAAGGCCCTTGAAATAGAGCAGGAAGTTGAAAGTCCTCAAGGGTATAAGCATAATGGCAGCTCCCAGGGTATTTTAAGACCCCAGTAGTTCCTTAGAACCAACCGGATGCATAAGACTTTAGTGCAGCTGTCATCTTAACACTACAAGGTTAGGAATGGAAAGTCACACCTTGGCCCTGCTTCAACAGTTGCCACACTTCTGTGGAAGTGTCCCAGGACGTCCTTCACCTGTGGTGACATTGTGACTTGCTCATCTGGAAGAAATCGCATCCAATGGATTCTGGGCCTCCTCCCTCCCTCCCCAAGCCACACACATCCTGTGGGATCCCTCAGCTGCAACTTCATGTGTAGGATGCTCAGAATCTGCTGGAGGTTGCTGCTAGTCCCAGGATTGCTGGCTCACCTATTCCTCCTCAATTTCTCTGTGCAAAAGGTACTGCACATAAGGCTAAATGGTAAGGTAAGAGTCCAAGGTATAAGGGGTGGTGTATTAGCATGGATAGAGGATCAGCTAACTAATAGAACACATGGTTGGGATAAAGAGCATGTCCTGGATAATATTCTGTTACTAGTGGAGTGCCACAGGGATCAGTGCTGGGGCCACAATTATTTATAATAGATACTAATGACTTGGATGGGGGTATTGAATGTACTATTGCCATATTTGTGGATGCTACAAAAATTAGTGGGAAGGACAAGGCGTGAGAGAAACACAAAGGATTTGACCTTAAATTGTTTGTTAAGTCCAAGTTGCATCAAGTGTTTTGAAGAAATTTTTCACCAGGAAGGCGAAGATGTTTTCCCCATCTTAGCAAACTCATCTCATTAACTACCCACCGTCCACATATAATGTGTCTCACATCTCACTTCCACCCCATCTAATCACACATCTTATCAAAACAACTTGACTCTCACTGCATATCCTCCAAACCACTGGCACCTACACACCCATTCCATCTTTAAAAGCCCGTTGTTCACTTGCATAAGAATTGATCTTCCGAAGCTGCCTTGCTAGTTAAGGGTGGGCTCTGAAAATGGTGGAGAAGGGAAAGATGGCACCATGATTCTCTGACAAGGACCTGGAAGGCCTAAAGGAAAGGCATCTTCTTCATGGAGGAACAGCAGAGGAAGCCACACCACCAGACCTTGCCAGCCTAGTACCTAGACCAGGTACTATCTTTGGGGTGTGGCGGAGTAGCCAGAAATGCAGAAAAAAGGTCAAGCATCTTTTTCACTCCAACAGGGTAGTTGCCACACTTTTCTCTGTGCCACTTCAAACTCACTCTATCTGCTACTGTACCCATCTCTTGCTATTGCGTGTAACACCTTCTTTCACTTACTCTCTCCATTGCTGCGACCTCCCACGCCACTAACCCTTCCTGCCCCCGGTGTAACCTCCTAAGTCTTCGATACATCTCAGCACCTTTCCCCCGCACGCACCAGCACAAACAGCTGCGCCCTGCACCTCCACCTGACTCTCCCCTTCGTCCCTTGGAAGTTCAAACCGAGGAGGATCAATAGTGTGGTTGACTGCCCTTGAATGGCACCCCTTTAGTCACGGGCACCTCCATAGACCTCAGTGAGGACTACTTCCCTAAGACTGCTTGCTGCATAGGCCACATAGACTGGTGCAGATGTGAGATCAGTGTAGCTGACTACCGTTCTATGAGAGGTGCACCCTCTAGGCCTGACGACTGTTTAGAGCAAGGCAAGCTGCCTGTTGTTAAGACTGTGCTAATTGTCATGACAAGGCAAGGCAGAGATGCTGTGGGCATTCACGTAGGTGCGAGGTGAGCAAACATCCCTAAGATGCAGCTAAGTCCTTTCCATGAGCTGGCTGCCTCTCCCTGTGTGCAAAGTATTCCAGCTGCAGCCTTTCAGTGCGATTTGCTGGTATATCTGCAATGCAAGGCTGCGTTACCACAGTGCACTGCCAAGATCATCGTGATGGATTTACAGTTGCTGGATGCCAGTATTACTTGAGGAGGCGTGAGTGCAGCTGGTGCCCATCATACCCTGGGCTGAGGGTTGGTGGCAGCCAACATTTGGAGCAGATGGCAAACTGAGTCCTCCAAATACACAATCTGGTTTCCTTGTCGAGTTCTTCTGATGACTAACTTGTTTGGTGAGCTTAATAAG